TTCACGCGACCACCGCAAAACTCCAGGATCAACTTTCCGCAGCCCAAACTCAGCAGCAACAGCTGATCCTGGAGCGCGATCGCGGCCTGTCGGAGCGCGATTTGGCACGTCGACGACTGGCGCTGGTGACAGCTGCCGTCTCGGATCCACTCCCTCCCTTGTCGGGGCCCTCTCAGGCTGCTAGCGTTTCTGCTCCTCTTCCGTCGGTAAGCGGGGCGGATTCGTCGACTGCGAAACGCCCGCGTAGTACATCTTCCGCTCCTAGCACCGGATCCTCCTGAAAAAGATAAATTTGCTTTACCTAAACTTTTTCAAGCAACATTCACTGGCTGAATTATTCGTATGTGTTGTGTGATGTCCACCGGATACTGGTTATAAAAGGGCAAACGAACTTTTTTTGGGTACCAAGTGGTGCATTCATTTACGTTCAAAGAGAGACACCACATCTTTCTGTGATATAAGAAATGAAACAGGAGATAACTGGTTTATCAAATTACATAGGGCTAAAGAAACGCTATTCTTTCAGCGCGATAATTTTACAAATGAATCACATAAGAAGTAAGACTTTCTCTTTAGGTCGAGTGCCGTCCCAAGAAGAAAATCTGGATTGAAATCGCTCCAAGGGTGGGCTTGTAGAGCGTCGACGACGCTGGGCCGTTGAAGTTGACGTACTGCGGCGAGTGCGCATTCGTAAGCAGCTTTTCAATTACATGATCGTCACAGTAGCCTCTCATATCGTTGCTTTTAAAAACATTTTCCTTGGTCAGAGCGCAGGCGTTGTACCTTCTGGGGATTCATGTCCGCATCTTTCCAACGGGGCTTTGATAAATAAAGCCGCCTCGCTCTTTTTTTTAAAGCCAAAAACGGCCCCCTGAACCTTGTAGACTCATCAATGATAAAGAGAGCCATAGTAGCTTTATACAAACTCTACAAAGCCTGTTCATATCACGAGAGTCTCCAAAGACGGGGATTTTATCATCAGAATCTTTGTGTTTAGACATTATTTTCGCCTTACTGGTAGCTCACGTAACGTACTCATAAGCGGCCAGACTTTCTGTATCCATCTTTGCTACAACATCGTGTTTGTTTGCCAACCCGCTCACTGTCTCCATCCTCATGTGGCCAAAGCGTTGGTGAAGCAGCTCCATCGCTTTTTTAACTGTTCATGTCTTCATTCAACTCTGCTATCATCACCACACCAATCACACGCTTCACATCGAGGCGGTAAATGTTTTCACGCATTTTAAACAAGAGGAGTGCTCGGCTTCGTCAGCAAGTAAATTGTTGGGCATCTGAGCTTGTCAACTTGAAGTTGTACAGCGAGACCGAGCCCATGGACTTAAGCTCAGCCGAGAGCTTGGTCCGCTGCTACGGATGTGGCGGACATGGACAGCATGTGTGTCCCTCGCCAGTCCTCGGAAAGAAGACAGCCCGTGAACCCCAGGTTCTTTGAGTTCACCGACAGGCATAACACACTCAAACAAGCTGACCCGACGCTTACCTTGAAGCCGGACGTCGCTCTGTGTGCTTGAGTAGAAATTCTGCTCTATATGTATGTTTGTCCTATCGAGCCCATTCCTAATAAGAAGTCCTTATCAAGTACACAAATATCAAGTGAATCGTAATTCGTTATGGATCTTCTTGCACGCCAAGCGTCGTCTGCACCATCACATGAGCATCTTTAGCAGCTCGCGTCCTGTCCCAGACGGTGAACGTGCCTTCAAAGGGTTGCGGAGTCTTATGCGAGATCATCCCAACCGCCACCGAGGGTTCGTACCGTAGATGGTCAGTTCTTGGCTGCTGAATGCAAATCCGGCCAGTCCATTATTAATAATAAGGACAGCCTCGATCGAGTGACATCTGGGACCGTATCCAATATTCGCTAAGTGTTTGGTAGTGACGCCGTCGAGTCTCTTGCACCTTGGAGTCACGGTACATCACGTGACCGAGGGCTCGTCGCTTGAACATCTTGGGCGGTGCCGCATCTTTGTCGGTTGGAAGAATAAAAGGGGTGCTATACAAGTACTACCAGTCGTGCAAATAGGTAACAATAAGCCGTCACGTAAAACCCTCCCGATAGTAATCGGCCAATACACACACACAGTCTCTTGGCCTTGCCGGATGAACCCTCGCTACAGAGCTTCAAATTCACCGACAGGCATAATACACTCAAACAAGCTTGACCAGACGCTTATCTTGTGGACGTCGCTCCGTGTGCTTGAGTGGAAATTCTGTTCTATATTTATGTTTGCCCTTTCGGGCCTATTCCTAATAAGAAGTCCTAATCATGTTTACAAACTATCAAGTGAACAATGATCCGTTATGGATTTTCTTGCACGCCAAGCGTCGTCTGCACCATCGCATGAGCATCTTAAACAGCTCGGGCCCTGTCCCAGGCGGTGAACGTGCCTTCAAAGAGTCGCGAAGTCTTCCGCGGACTCATCCCAACCGCCACCGAGGGTTCGTACCGTAGATGGTCAGTTCTTGGCCGCTGAATGCAAATCCGGCCAGTCCATTATTAATAATAAGGACAGTCTGGATTAAGTGACATCTGGACCGTATCCAATATTCGCTGAGCGTTTTGACACCGTCGAGTCTCTTGCACCTTGGAGTCACGGTACATCACGTGACGGAGGGTTCGTCGCTTGAACATCTTGGGCGGTGCCGCATCTTTGTCGACGGGCGATTATCTGGAGAAATCACTACACCACAAGTGCTTCTGTCGCAACGGAAGCCACGGTACTGGGGCCCGTTGTGACATTTCTTCATTCTCCAATTCACGATCCAGTCACGGGATGTCCAAGCGTCTGAATCAGGCCGTTAATAACGCGCTCCAGCGTCTTAATCCTACTGCGTACGATAGTCACTGTTACCACCTGTAGAAGGACTGCCGCTGAGCGGCATCGACGTCTCGGTATCGCTCACAAACCCGATTAAAATTGTTTCTCTGCTGCGGATGAAGATTCTTGCATCAATAAAGCATTACATCATAAGTTGTAGCGGGTTTAGAGAGCTGTTGTACTTTCTCTCAATCCGCTACATCTTATTGTCTGGTCCATAAAAGACCAGACAATTACTCGAGTACAGTGAGCCGAAGTTCAATGCACATACTCTCTCATTATTGTTGCACCTGCCGAAGGTCCAACGATCTTCACTTGAGTTTTTTTCTGATTTCTATTCAATCGCATGACCAACACAAATACAAGAGAAATGGGCTAGTAGTGCATATTGACATTTACAGCTCGCAAAATAAATTTAGGCTACTATTGTCCTATCAGGCTAGTGGGCTTCTGTTTTACGGCAAGCCTTGTACAAGTAGCTGGTTTATAAAAAAGAAAACTTTACTGAGTTTTAATTTATTCAACACATTAAACTATTACACCTCTAGATTCAGATTCTCTGCTTAAGAACTAATGTGATCTAGCGACGTTGTAATTTTCTACATAAGAAAGGTTCTCTCGTTCAAAAGCTCACAACCCCTTTTTTTCAGTGAGCTCGGCGACCACCGGCAGACTTCGTGCTCTATATTACGTCGGCGTGGCAGTAGAATCGACAAATTTAATTAATCTAGCTGGAAATGCCAACGACTGGCTACGTACCGTAGCCCCATCTTTTAATTTAAGAGCTGAAGTTTCTGATGATTTTATGCTCAAATTGCTACCCATTTTTAAAAATTTCAGGTTAAGCTAAAAATTTCAGTTTTAATTGCTTTTAATTTTTACCGCGTACAAGTTATACTGTAAGGCATTACCCCGATATCACATTACTAGTCTAAAGTCATTTAGAAATTTTTCACTAGCCCAATTATCTTTTATAAAAGTGTATGTGAAGTTATTTGTGTACTAAAACCAAAATAGGAAATCTCAATTTATAAATCAAAAGAGGGAGCTACCGTACTTGGGCTGTTCGTACAACGTCGCCGCAACCCTACCAGGAAAATGTACCTACGAGCGCCAACAAATGGGTCAAGTTCAGCAACGAGTTAATTTTATGTAAAGGGAGTCAATATAATTCCGATTCACACGCGTATGGTACTTCGTGGTATGTATTTGCAGCCTTCCGGCCAAAGACACCGATCGTATCATTCTTGATATTATCAATCAAAACAGCCATGAAGATGACTAGTTCACCAGCGATGATCTTCACTGAAGCTAATTTTGATGCAAAAGCTAGCTCTGGTTTTTGATCCGCCGGACGGTTTGTGCGTACTCTTTCTTCTTCGCCATATCATTCAAGAAGTTGACGTATCCAATGTACTTGACGTACTCGGGGGTACGCATGAACTCATTCATGCCTGGCTTGTTGTGTCTGGTAAAATCGTCGATCTTATCTGCAATACGCAGATCACTGGCAAGCTTCTCCTTGGTGGTTAAGTTCGTCATCATGTCCATCATTGTTTTCTTGCTCAGACTTCTTTCCTCATCTCCGCTGTTTTCAACGGCCAAGTGGTGAGCTCTCAGCTGGCGTTGACTCCGGCTGGTAGACGAACCAGCTTCGGTGACGTAGCTGGAGTCTGTGGTCATCGACGACGCATCACTGGCAGCCAGGAAATTCACCGCGATGGCCAGAATGAGGAAGGATGAGCGCATGGCTGTGGTGTGCTTGGTTGGGGTTTTGAAATGTGGGGAGAAAACCTCAGACTGAGATGGAAAAGCTGGTCTAACAAATAATGAGCGAGTCGTCGCATTGCAGGGAGCACATCCTAAGCTACCTATTAGTTATATGCACAAATCAAAGATTACAGCTTACGGACGTAACGTATAGAAATGTAATCTTAGTACTAGCGGTGGCGTTTCCTGCCATTTCATTTACTTCAAAACCCGAGCCCTAGCAAACGTTCATCCAATCGAATCACATAATTTCATGTAAGAACGACCCCATGGATGTTTCAATTAGAAATGAGTTGTGTTGAGGGTCAAATTGCTTATAGCATATAGACTTTGCTTCGATAATATACTCGTGGTTATTTTATCAACACGACGCAGGAGTAAATTTACTTTCACTCGATTTTTTTTGCTTTTTGTTCTAGCTTCCCCGTAAGAAACACTGCAGATGGCTACAGTCTCGATAAACCACGCGTAGAATATTACAAAGCGCAATTGTCATGTACAATACTACTTTTATCTTCATCAATGTATGTAAAAAAGGGGTTTTCATGATGGCACAATGGCAGGACGATTCTATTCCTAACCGCGCCATGCCATGACTCAATTTCGAGTTCCATTGCTTGGCACGCGTGGTGGTGGTTAATAACCCTCTTAACGTGGCACAAATCGTACTAGTCGTTTTCAGAGCAAGCAATTTTGAGAATGAAACGAGTACCAGGGTTGATCAATGCCGAGACGACAATAACCTGCGTCGATACGTACTTAGTGCGGCGCTTTTCTTATATGCATCGACTGTTCTCTAGATGCATAATTGTTACTTGCATCACGTACTTTTCATTTTCTAGATATTATACAAACCCCAATACAAACTCTTTGATGGAGGTAGGATTCGTGTATCTTAGCACCATTTTTTCAGCAGGGATATTTCAACTCTTGCGACCAATAAACATGAGAAGCCATACATATGTTAATTTGCTGTGATAAAAGAAAATACTACTGCGTTCTCAACATCAGCAATCGAACTTAAAGAATTGCGCAAATATGAAGCACTAATTACTTTTACTTACTGCATAAAGCTTCGAGTGATACTTGAAGCTCGGAATAAAATTCTTCGACTGCTCGCTATAGCTGAGATTTCCAGTGGCAAAGTAGTGATTCTAGCAGTAAGTAGTTTATCAGTTGCTGCTACTGGACTGCGTGGACACCGGTGCGAGAATCTCCACCAAAAGCCAATAAAGATGGTGGAGAAAACAAAGACGTTTAAGATGGCGCAAGTGCTGAATGGAAATTCAGGGGTGTCACCTTTTGTAACGAATGTATTGCTAAAAGAAACAGTGCTCTTTATAATGACGTTGTACGGCGCACCTTCTTAGAAGAAATGCCCACCATGCTACAAGCCATAGAAAAAGTCATGTGAGCGCCGTTGTTACCGATATTATTGCGATTGGAGCCTCAACAGTATCAAGGAAAGCTGCCGTCCAAATTGCTGCCACAACTGGTAAAGATAAATTTCATTTTACCCATTGGGTTATTTTTACTTGAAAAGATAAATTTGCTTTACCTAAACTTTTTCAAGCAACATTCACTGGCTGAATTAGTTTTGATGTTACCCGCGGCCGCCACATGCAACATTCTTATGTGTTGTGTGATGTCCACCGGATACTGGTTATAAAAGGGCAAACGAACTTTTTTTTTTGGTACCAAGTGGCGCATTCATTTACGTTCAAAGAGAGAAACCACCACATCTTTCTGTGATATAAGAAATTAAACAGGGAGATAACTGGTTTATCAAATTACATAGGGCTAAAGAAACGTTATTCTTTCAGCGCGATAATTTTACAAATGAATCACATAAGAAGTAAGACTTTCTCTTTAGGTCGAGTGCCGTCCCAAGAAGGAAATCTGGATTGAAATCACTCCAGGGGTGGGCTTGTGGAGCGTCGACGACGCTGGGCCGTTGAAGTTGACGTACTGCGGCGAGTGCGCATTCGTGAGCAGCTTTTCAATTATATGATCGTCACAGTAGCCTCTCATATCGTTGCTTTTAAAAACATTTTCCTTGGTCAGAGCGCAGTCGTTGTACCTTCTGGGGATTCATGTCCGCATCTTTCCAACGGGGCTTTGATAAATAACGTCGCCTCGCTCTTCTTCTTAACCAAAAACGGCCCCCTGAACCTTGTAGACCCATCAATGATAAAGAGAGCCATAGTAGCTTTACACAAACTCTACAAAGCCTGTTCATATCACGAGAGTCTCCAAAGACGGGGATTTTATCATCGGAATCTTTGTGTTTAGACATTTTTTTCGCCTTACTGGTAGCTCACGTAGCGTACTCATAAGCGGCCAGACATTCTGTATCCATCTTTGCTACAACATCGTGTTTGTTTGCCAAAACGCTCTGTGGTGTTGGGAATCCCACGTGAACTCTAGCTACAA